GATTCTGAAGAAAGGAGACTGTCAGTGAGTCCTCAGCTTGGCTGATGCCTGGCTGGAGTTAGGAGTCTAAAGGTTTAGTTAGAGTAACACCTGTGAAAAGAAAAAGGCAGAAGCAGGATTGAGAAAGAGGAACATTAGACCACCCAATGCAAATCTGGCAAATACCAAGAGAAAGCTCCAAAGCAGAAGCGGCCACTAGAGGAGCCCCACGTTAGGCAAGAGGACGAGGTCTCTGTACCACCGCACCTCCATCCTGCTCAGTCACTGGCTGGGACCACCCGCAGAAGGAGTTAACTGTCAGCTGGAGGCTCACAGCTAATCAGAGTCTCAGCAGCCAGCAAGTCCTTTCTAGAAAGAGGATCTGAGCTGTTATCTGCATCTCCATATCTGCACAGGGACTGTCACTGAGGGAGGAAAGGGGAAACCCCGCAGTTTTGAAAACAGGACTAGGAATTTGGTTGTGCCCATAAAGGACTCAATGGGAAGTCTTAGTCGTCCTGTTTGGAGATTTGTCCCTCTATATTGGATTTTACTCCACCTCCAAATCCCTAGTGAAGTTCTTGGTGCAATGACATCATGAGGAATTAAAGGGGTAAGGCAGCTGGGAAGGCGTGCCCTTTCCCATCCCGTCTCTGCATCTTAGGCTCCACATTGAAACCACACCAGGGTTAGAATCCTGAGTTCCCAGAAGTGACCAGCAGCAGAGAGCGCTGAGACTCAAGACGGAGCCAGACTGAGGGGTACCCCACCACCACCACCACCACCACCACCACCACCACCACCTCTTCCCAAACACAGCAGTTGAAAGCAATCCTGGGTCTGAAGGAGGAGAGAAGCCAGTCTCATAGAACCTTTTGCCTGCTGCTATACAGAGTTCCTGTAAAAGACCTATACAGACACTGGTGGATGACTTCTAAACAGTGTTCACAAACAACTACCTAAGGGCAAGCAGGAGAAATCACCTTTTTTTTTTTTTTTTAATCTTCACCCAAGAATATTTTTCCAATTATCTTCCACTAGAGTGGGAGGGAGGAAGAGAGAAACATCGATGTGAGAGAGATACATCAATTGGTTGCCTCCTGCACGACCCCAACCAGGACCGGGGATGAACTGCAACTGAGGTATGTGCCATCGACTGGAATCGAACCTGGGACTCTTTGATTCGTGGGCTGACACTCTAACTGCTGAGCCAAACTGGCCAGGACAGAAATCACTGAAAAATCAGAAGTTGAGTAAGCTATGCAACAGAATTATGAGATTCTAGATAGAGTATTATCTCACAAAATTAATAATCCATTACATTTAAATAGGCAGAGATTGTGTCAGTCTCGGGCATCTACAGATCCATTCACTGTTTTGTTTGTGCGTTGTTTTTTTAAATAAATTACCTGTCAACAGTTAAACATCAAATATGTCATATTAAAATCCAGATTTCTACCTTCTGTTTAGAAATCCTAAGATCTGGCAATGCTGGGTTGGCATTCTCATGCCAAATGTGGGCAGAACTAAATATGCCTCAGTTCTGTGAGCTGCAGGTCAGTGGGACACACCTCTCCTCACGGGCTCCCAGCCCTGAGGCCAGGGTATGTCAACACTTATCACTGAGCTTACAACATCAACCAAAGCTGAAACCTTTCTACGTCAATGTATAAGAGGGCAGGACAGCAAGAAGATAAATTCACTGTGGAAAAACAAATCCATCAGAATTGCTTTTAAAGGAAATTTGACCATAGTCATCCATTTAAAACATTTAACCCAAGGTATAAACAGATTTGTATCAAACACAAAAAATGTATATCCAAGTTTGTTCATTGTAGCATTGTTTGAAATAGCAAAACACTGGTAGCTACTTCAGTGTTCATCAGTAGCAGACTGGCTAAATAAATTTTGGGATACCCACACAATGGGATACTGCACAGCTATTTTTAAAGGGAGAGAGAAGAGAGTAGATCTATTGAGCACCACTCAGAACAGTCTCTGAGATGTATTTTAAGAAACAAAAGAAGAAAGGAAGCAAGAAAAGAAACCAGTGATTTGAAGGGACCAGTGAAGTATAGTGTCATTCCATTCATGGGAACATGTTTAAAGGAAAAATGCACATAAATACATAGGAAGTTTCTGGAAGGATACACAAGACCAAGTGCTAATGGAAAATAGGTAAAAGAAGCATAGGGAAGAGTTACTTGTTTACTTTCACTTTATAACCTCTTTTAAAATCATAAACATGCATTATTTTTATGATTTAAAGAATAGATATTTTAATGATGAAAACTGAGACACATTGATGATGAAAGTAAAATTCCAATGTAGAGAAAATTAATTTCTAAGAAACTGTCATTCTCCAACAATATCAGAAAAACTAGGTGTAGCTATTTGACATTGGTGGTGGTCAGATTGTCATGAGTCACTGTGATTTCACAGATGGAAATTAAAACGCCTACCTCACTGGATTGGAAATATTCAATAAAATTTATAGAAAGCACCCAACCTTTGCCAGCACTTGGAAAGTGTTCAATAAAACTTGCTATCTCCAGCTCTCCCACACTGCCCAATCCTAACTTGTGTCAAATGATGATACATGAACTAATAACCAATCTGGGATGGCTAGTGCAAAACCCAAGATTTAAATTCCATCCCAGGTGAATTTTCTTCTGTCAGCCCTTGAAGAAGATAGGAGTCTGGTCCTCAATCACAGAAACGTTTCTTCACATCTGTAGATGGTACCACCTCCATATAAGAGCAACCCCATTGCCTATTAAAGTTCCCATTTCAAGGAGACTCCAACACACCCAGGTATTTTCCCCTAAAATGCCCTACCCCCATCATCAACAAACCAACTTGAGGAGGCGTAGGAGCTAGAGATCCCCACACTTCTACCCTTTTCTTTTCAGATCAACTCCCTAGTGTCCCCTGTGCTCTCCTAAGTGGTGCTAGAGGCCAAATATCGACCTGGCCCAGATGAGGAGAGGCCAATGTTCAGAGCTCCCAGGCCAGAATTCTCTTCCCAGGACCCTTTTCTCTTTGGAGGGTGATCTCCCTCCCCCTCCCCCCAACAGAGAGCTCCTGGATCTAGCTGCCTACATCTGGGCAAGGGGTGATGAGAGATCAAATTTGCCCTTCGGACCTGTCCCTTTGATCCAAAAGCCCTGATAAGCCCTACTCCAGCCCTCCTACACACCCTCCACCCAGCCCCAGGCTGGGAAGAGTTCCCACAGTGCATTAGCTCTGAACAGGGGAAGAGGAAGAACAGTGTCACACTATCCAGCCTGTCAATAATTCATGAGTTTCAGACTGAAGGGCACCAGTGAGAGAGTCAGTTTTCCCCGGATATGGGAAAATTAGACTTAAGCTCTCTTATCTCATTGGGATGTGCTGAGTACTGAAACTGTAACTTCTTGGTTGAGGAATATACTATAAATCCATCGTGTGTTGTTATATCACTTGCTACCCAAACACCCCATTTTGACTGCTGAAATCCCTTTTTTAGCTAATCAGCTGACCTATACATATACTAAATGAATCTTTAGCAAGTATAAATTCGATTAAACAGCAACCCCTAAAACTGAGTCTTACAAACCAGCATTCTCTCCCCTTCAATTGTAGGGACTGACACAGGGCTGCCAAACTGGTAATTTCACCAACAAACTACACTTTTCTCAACCTACCATCTGCTTTCATCATCTTTTCTTAACAAAAAGACAACACATGAGGGTGCACACACACACAATGCAAAAGTTTATCCCAAAATAAAGGAGTATCTGTTAAGTTTAATAAGCTTGGCTTTATGGAACTCACTACATTTTTTTTATTTTCCTCATTTTGCCTTGAACTAATGAAAACTTTGCCATGGATCAGTACTACTTCTCAGCCTATCTTTTGGAGGCCACTGGATTAAACCAATTCAGACACTGGCACTTGGGTCTGCCAGGGCCTTTCTGCAGTGTACCATAAGCCATGCAGATTTATTAATTCTCCCAGAAACCCTAGAGGGAGATCATTTCAGCCCACTTGGCAGAAGTGGAGGCTGAAGTCTTGGGCACAGAATTTATAGCTGGAGAGGACTTTATTCATCATCCACTCCAGCATTCTCAGTTTACAGATGAAGACTCTGGCCTGTGGCAGCAATAATAATTACTTTATGGTGGCAATAATTACTATGTTTAGCAGTTTACAGTTTATAAAGTGCTTTTACATTCAACAAATATTTATTGAACTTGGATGGAGGCTAAGACCTGGGGACTTGATGATTGTTGAGAAATGAGTTCTCTATATTCCCACCACTGATTGGGTGGCCTTTCAGCTACCACTTAGGCCCTGCATAATGGGGAAGTCCTCTTTGGATAACGGGTACAAGAGGTCCTGTCCAGCCAGGATCTTTATCCCTGCACACTGGTTATCACAGTGACCAGAATCTGCCCTCCAGGCCTGTCTCGATGGAGGAGACCTTGAGCTAGAGTGTAAGGGCAGTGCCAGGTCTAGCCCAGATGCTTCCCATCAGGTCTCTCTCCCAGGCTCCTCCACCCTCACCTGAGACCCTCATGTAGTGAATCCACAGGGACCACAGGCCTCACCTCCTTGGGCAATCTCAAAATGTTTGCCCTCTTATGGGCTGTCACATATTTAGACCCAGACTTTTTCAGAGAAGGTCCATCTTGAGATTCTGGGAAGCAAAAGCAACCAACTCAAAGCTACTTCCCCACCCTGCCCCCCGAAAAATGACGTGGACCAGCAGATGTGGGAGGTGGGGGTGCGAGGAAGTCTGTGGGTTCCTGCAGTGAGGGGCGGGCCCTTCAGGAAATCTGGACAGACAGCGCTGTCCCACACCCGCCAGAGCAGAGCTGAGGGCTGCGAGGCACACAGCCGGCAGGGGGCGCCCGCAACCACAGCCTGTTCCCCGCGCGGAGGGCGGGAGCGGGAGGAGCGGGCCAGCGGAGGGGCGGGCCGGAGCCTGGAGCCGGCCCGCCCCTCGCACCTCCCCACCCACCAGCACGGAACCTTGCACCACCGGCGCCATGCATAAGGCGGGACTGCTGCTGGGCGCCTGTGTCCGGGCGTGGAAGTCATTGCGGATGGCCAGCTCCAGGGTGACGCGCCGGGACCCGCTCGCGAACAAGGTGGCCCTAGTAACGGCCTCCACCGACGGGTGAGTGCCCGGGCCGGAGGCTTTGAGGGCCCCTGCTGTCTGGAAACGGGTGCCAATGCCTGTCCTTTACCTCCGGGCCGGGCTGTGTCCTGGTTTTCCCAGGCGGCCCGGATGTAAGGGGCCACGTGGTTGGCCTGCAGCCCTCGGCATCTCCTGGCACTGCTGCCTCTGACGCCGTTGCGCCCGCTCAGTGCTGCCCCCCTCACCCCAGTGTCACAGAGCTCCGGGCTGCCCCAGTCAACCGGCCCCACTTCGAGTCTAGGAAGACCAAACACCAGAAGTTCAAGACAGCCCAGATTTCAAAAATATCCCACTGCTTCCATCGACTATGGAAATGTTCCACACACCCCATTTGGGCCCCCGACACGTTTCCCAGAACCGCGCCTCTTACCTAGACAGGGCAAAGACTCGTGTATCCAGATTTTTGTTTGGCTGAGTACATTTTGGCCTCCCTTGCCCAGCCTGTCTCTCACCCACCACTCTTGTCTGTACTGCTTCTCATTCCCACAGGTCTTTGCTAGACAACAGCTCTACACAAATCTAAAATATAAATGTATTCAAAATGCTAATGGCTAACAATTGCAAAATGTGTAACCCTTACTCTCATGAGAGTAATGGAAAAAGTTACATTTTTGCCCTGGCCGGTTTGGCTCAGCGGTTAGAGCATCTGCCCATGGACCAAAGAGTCCCTGGTTCGGTTCCACTAAGGGCAGGAACCTTGGTTGCAGTTTGTCCCCAGCCCTGGTTGTGTGGGTGGCAACCACTGGATGTTTCTCTCTCTCTTCCTCCCGCTCTATCTGAAGAGGAATGCAAAAATGTCCTCTGGTGAGGATAAATAAAAAAAAAAGTTTACATTTTTAACCAGAGACCTACCCTTTCACATGCACCCTAAAACATAACTAACGATAGATTTTTGAGATGATGCAGACTAGTAAGGAACATATTTGGAGGCAGGGCTCTCTTGAGTAAGGCCCTCCAATCATAGAAGTAGCTGCTGCTACATCCCTAGCTCATTTCTTTCCCGTGAGTCCCTACAGAGTATGCGGCCTGTACCTGGTGATGGGGACTGTGGAAGGTGATGTCACTTTCTGGGAACCTAATCTGAGAGCCAAAACCCTAAGAAAAATAAGTAAACGAGTGCCTAAAAGGAGAGCTTAGAATTCAAACCGTGGCAGCCTGACTCTGGAGCCCATGCTTTCAACCTCTTCCCTACATTGGCCCTGACAGTCTGTATCTCTCCGCCCACAGGATCGGCTTCGCAATCGCTCGGCGTCTGGCCCAGGACGGGGCCCACGTGGTGGTCAGCAGCCGGAAGCAGCAGAATGTGGACCGGGCAGTGGCAGCGCTGCAGGGGGAGGGGCTGAGTGTGACTGGCACTGTGTGCCACGTGGGGAAGGCTGAAGACCGAGACCGGCTGGTGACCACGGTGAGCCACAAGGATATGGGCACAGAGCCAGGAGGTGGCAGAAGGGAGCCAGCCTGAGCCTCCTTCCTGCTTTCCTGGACATCAGTGGTGTGATCCAAGCCAGCACTATTAACTAAAACGTAACAGCGTGTTCTGCATACTCACACCAATTCATCAGCACGCTTTCATTGTGTGCCTTTCCGTTATGTCTCTAAGAATCCTCCCATCCCAGTCAGAGAATTACAAACCACTCTGATGCTTCAACCCTGCATCAGCCCTTGTGGGCACCCAAAAAAACAGCTGGTCCTGGTTCTCTAGTAGTTTCCAATCTAATTGGGCAGATGAGAAGGGTAGATACAATCAGAAAATAGATGTTCCCATCTGTGAGCAAATGAGCACTCCCCTGTTCTTCAGTGTAGAAGCAGTCCCTGGGAACCTGCAGGAGGAAGCCCACCAGGTTTCAGTCACCTACTGAGTGCCATTTACTTTGTTCAGAGTGTTACACAGGTTATATCTAAACCTGACAACAACCCAAACAAGGCAAGGACTATTCTCCCTGTTTACACTCTGCTCAGAAGGGTGGAGCCATATCCCAAGGTCCCACAGCCGTAAAAAGGAGCCGTGAATCAACCCATACCTGTGAAGCTGCCTACAGACTACCAGGCAGTTCCCCATTATGGTCAGGGCAAGCCTTGGGTTCTCACTTGGACTTGATTCTCAAAGACGGATCTAAGCCCGCATCAGAGTTGGTACTTGGCACCAGCCTTACAGCTACTCAAGAAAATATGAACATCTGGCAAAGGAGGCTCCCCTTCTCTCAGGCATAGAGCCTACACTTTATTCCCTGGAGTGGAAGGGAGAATATACCCAAGAATGGAAAGTGTGGGATTATACTAACCAACTGGAAGGCTGGCAGAAATAATGTGGGTAATCTTAGAAAAGGGGGATGTTAAACAATAGTAGATGGCATAAGGTTATTCCGTTCTTAAGGAACTCTTTGGGAATCCTCGCATGTGCATTGGAGAGAGCTAAATGTCGGTCCAAGAAGGTCACATTGTCTGGCATAGGCTGCTGGACAGAGCCTGAGATTGGGACCTCGATCCTGAGGTTGAAGGGAGCCATCTGGGATCCTGGACCAATTAGTGACTAGCCATATGAGAGTATGTAGCAGCTTAATGTCAAAATCCTGCCAGGAAAACCACCTCTCATCCCCATCTGTCTTGCAGCCCTGACCTAACAGTGGGGCTTGAGCTAGACCTCGAGGAGTGGGTGGGATGGACAGATGGGATAGGACAGGATTCCAGATGACCCTGCAAAATGAGCAGACAGCCAAGGAGGGACTGAAGGGAAGAGGGGAGCACTGTCAGCCCCATGGCAGAGAGCACAGGCTCATGAGCGCTGGTATGCTGGCCTGGTGGGAAGGAGTTTAGACATCCTTGAGAGGCCATGTGAGGTTTTAAGCAAGATGAAAATGGTTATTAAAGAAAGAGAATTTGACTATATTGGAGTAGAGAAAACTCTGAGCCAAGGACATCAGCGAGTAAGCTGTTGCTGTCATTCAGATCAAGAGCAGTGGTGGTGGGACCAGAATGGATCTGTTCAAGAGACATTGAGTGGAACCAACCAAGATTTTCTTTCTAACCCAGTGTCAAGAAACGGGGAACATGAGGGATAAGTCAAAATGACTCTCAGGGCAATGTCAGGGTGGAGAATAGTAGGATACTTGTTAGCACTTTGAGATGTGTTCTGCCTACTGCCAGCTGTCACCCTGTAATGAGGAAAGCTGCTGCCCTGAGGAGAGTTACGACCCAGCAGCCTCCTCATCTGCACCTTGAAGCTTCTCAAAGGCGTGGTGAGTGGAAACCAGATCAGCCGCTTCTCCCCTTGATTCTATTTTCTAAAAAATATACCTATCAGAACACAGAGCAAACCACTGTTGTGTACTCATCACACAACTTAGAGAAAGACTTAGAAGACACCAGCTGAGTAGTCAGAATACCTTTCTCATTAATCTTCTATGGTTCTTTATCTCTGTTCAGTCAAAACCCCGCCTCCTATCCATGCTGACAGGCCTGGGAGTGGGGTGCGCTGCACAGCAGAAATGGAAATCGGTCCAGGTGATTCTGGTGCAATCCACCACCTTCTCCCCCCACCAACACACATGCACAGGGCACAGCACACATCACTTTCTGATGCATTCTGCACTTTCCTAGTCGTAAGCCCATAGGCCAGACTTACACAGAGCCAAGGTAAGTAACTGGGGCTTTGTGCCAGGACACCAAAATTTAGAGAGTGCAAGAAAGTATTGATACTGGTTTTAAAAGATTATGGATTTTAAATTTTTTGTGAAATTTACATGTTGAGAGCTCGGGCGTTCCTTCAGTGGTATAGAAACATCTGAGCTTAGCACCTAGTTAGCAAGAATAATTAGTTAAAATGGGAGCTAGCAGATGGTACACACTGTTAATAACACCCCTCCCTGTGTCAAATTGTGAAGCACAAAGTTGACTGAGGGCCCATTTACTGCTGCTTGCCCCAGGCATCAAAATTGCCAGTTCTGGCCCTGGCCAGTATGGCCCAGTTGGTTGGAGCATCATCCCATACACCTAAAGGTTGCAGGTTCGATTCTTGGTCAGGGCATATAACTAGGTTTCGAGTTCAATCCCTAGTCAGGGCATGTACAGGAGGCAACCAATCCGTGTGTGTGTATGTGTCTCTCTCTCTTTCCCTTCCTTTTGCTCTAAAAACCAATAAAAACATATCCTTGGATGAGGATTTTTTTAAATTTGCCAGTTCTGCGCAAATGCAAAGTCTGATTTCAGGGTGGTATATTGTTGGCAGATTCTGTTTGGCCAGTCATTACTCCAGCACATGTCTGCCACCACCTATTTCCAATTTACTAAGGAGGTGAGATGCTACCTTTCTTGGTTTTCCCAGTTTCAATCTCAGCTCTGCCTTGAATCTTCCATGCTTCCGAGCCAAAAAAAAAAAAAAGAAGGCAGGAATGGGGGGCAGCATTATAACTAAGTATGGAACTGCTTTAAGCCCAGGCTGATGTCTCTCCTATCAGACAGATATCAGTTCTGCCACCACTAACTAGCTATGCACCCGAAGCAAATCACTTCACCTCTCCCAGAGACCAAAAGCCGGCCCCAGCATGTCATTACTGAGTTACAGGATCTTGAGAAATCAACTTCCCTGGAGCTCAGTGTCATCACCTTCACCATGAGGCCATGGGGCCAGACGGCCTAAAGGGCCCTGCCAGTGGTAACTTTCTGTGAGTCTATTTAAACCAGTTTCTCCAGGTAGGTGTGGACAGGTCGAGTTTGAGATAATGGTAAGTCATATCAAGGAGAACTGGACAGTAAGCACTTGGAGAAATGGGGCTGGGACTCTGTGAAAAGAAGGGTCTAGAAATAGATTTTGAGTTGACAGCAAGGCCATGATAATAAAGGAGCTCCCCAAAGAGAAAGTGTAAAGAGCATAGGGTCAGCAACAGCCTTAGAAGAAGTGCGGGAAGGAAGAAAAGATGCCAAAGAAATTAGACGACTAAGTGTTTAGCAGCAGAGGTTAGGGGAGCTTTGGAGGAAAATGTTTCAAGAAACAGATGTCATTTTGATATCATTTTGGTCCTAAGAAGGAATTCTTTATCAACGTTGACAAATGCACGTCCCAACCGACCCGAAGCCCTGAATCAGAACTTACTCTCTCCAGGCTGTGAAGGCTTATGGGGGCATTGACATCCTGGTCTCCAATGCTGCCGTCAACCCTTTCTTTGGAAACCTAATGGATGTCACCGAGGAGGTGTGGGACAAGGTAAGGGGGTTAAAGCAGCAAGGGGCGGGCCTCGGAAAACAGCACAAACTCAGTCTGCTTTTAGAATGCGTTTGCCAAGTGCCATGTAACTGTGAGGAATCCTTGCAATTTGCCGTGCACCTGGTAAAGGGCTGCTGGGGGGTGGCTTCCTCTCTCCCTGCCCTTCTCTCTCACTGCTGCTTCTCCCAGTTTTGTCTTCTGTTTGCTCCTTGCTAGCCGCCTTCTTCCCTACACCCCACCCCCTACCCTGCCTTATCCAGGCGTATCCAGGCTCTTCCTGGTTTACTTCCAGCAGATAGGGCAGGAAATCTGCCAATAACTAATACACTTAAATTTGCACACCACCTGTCCCCTTTTTCAGCTGCAAAAAAGAGTATTTCTCGTTAGTTGGAAAACTTTAATAGCTGCGAGTTAAGTGAAATACTAGTTCTGGTGAAATGACTTAAGTTGCCGCTTTGTAACATACAGCCTTTGAAAAAGACCTGCACTCTGTTCTTCTTAACTGCAACAAGAACATTAGAGATCCAGATGTCTAAATTCAAGTGTGGACTTTGGGTTTTATGTGAGCATGTATAATTACACTATATTTATACTATATTTCACACACCTACATTCTTTCATTATAAAGCCTTAATTAAAATAGTTGTCTTTGTTTATCAAGGTGAATATTCCCACATGATTTGGAAATGCTAGGTTTTTTGTGATTGCCCATGGTTTTGTTTTTTTCTTCTGATATCATCAGTAATGTCTCAACACTGAAGTTTAAGAATACTAAAAGGTGGTGCTTCAGCCCTGGCCAGTTTGGCTCATTGGTTAGAGCGTCGGCCCGCGGAACAGAGAGTCCCGGGCTCGGTTCCCGCTAAGGCAGCAGTTCTCAACCTGTGGGTCGCGACCCCTTTGGGGGTCGAATGACCCTTTCACAGGGGTTGCCTAAGACATAACAGTAGCAAAATTACAGTTATGAAGTAGCAACGAAAATAATTTTAGGGTGGGGGGTCACCACAATATGAGAAACTGTATTAAAGGGTCGCAGCATTAGGAAGGTTGAGAACGGCTGCGCTAAGGGCATGTACCTCAGTTGCAGTTCATCCCCGGCCCCGGTTGGGTTGTGTGGGTGGCAACCAGTCGATGTGTGTCTCTCACATCGATGTTTCTCTCTCTTTCTTCCTCCCTCTCTCCCTCCCACTCTATCTGAAGATAAATGCAAAAATGTCCTCGGGTGAGAATTTTTAAAAAAAAATGTGCTTCATCAGTGTTTTCCCAGATACAGAGACCACAGTGCCAAGTGCCCTTCAGTGAGTCAGTTCCCCACTGATATTCCGTAAAGCAGAAAAACATCTTTCATGAGCAGTCTGAATGGAGACCACAGGAAAATAATTTTAAACCAAGTAATTTTTCTGTTTAGTTTGCATTTTAAAAATATTTCACAGTACATCAAATCCAAATGCCAGGGTTGATTCTTGATTCCTTGGATTCTTAAAATAAGGACATTTGGGAGACAACTGGGGAAATTTTATTACGGACAACTCATTAGGCAAAATCATTATTATCAGTACTAAATTTCTTGGTTGTAATCATGGATTATGGTCTCTTAAAGAATATCCATAAGTATTTAGGGTTAGAGCATTATGACATCTGCAACTTAACCTTCAGTGGTTCAGGGGGGGAAAAAACTGTGTAAATACATAGATACGGCATATGGAGCAAAATGTAAAGATCCTTTAGGATCTTCATTGTACTTCTTTTTCAACTTTTCTGTTAGACTGAAATTTTTCAAAATAAAAAGTTTTTCTGTTTTAAATTATGGGTATGAGGTTTTGAGTGCAGCCTATGCCCCAGCTACCCCAAAAAGTGCCTCCTCATGATCCCACTTTCCAAAAAACGTTCAGCCGGACAGTCCATCCTGGAGGGCCCAGAGCATCTCACTCTCTGAACTCGGGAGCCAAAGGAGTGCTGGGACCCGAGGTCAGGCCACATTTCCCTGAGAAGCGTGGCCAGGAGGCCAACCTACTTCCAGGCTCTCCCTAGTAAGAAGAAACAGAGAAAATCCAGCTCAAATCCAAAGTAGCCCTGAGAGTTTGGGTCCATTCTAGGCCAAATCATACTTGGCTAGCTAGGAAACAGGAACCAGGCTCCCATTCTTTCTCACTCAAACCTAATATTTCATTCTCTAGCTGAATATGCTGGTGAAAGACACTTCTCCCTGGGCCTTGGTTTCTTCACTTGTAAGATTATCTGTAGGATCTCCGGCAGCCCTAACAAGCAGATCTTAGGGACCCTATTATGACTGCTCATTGCCCTACCTCTCCTGTTCTCTCCCCTCATGCTGTCTCCCCTCTTCTCTCGGTTTCAGATTCTGGAGATTAATGTGAAGGCCACAGCCCTGATGACAAAGGCAGTGGTGCCAGAGATGGAGAAACGAGGGTACAGAGAATGAGAGGGAGCCTGGGTGCAACAGGCCCCACGTGGTCTGAGGGCAGGGGGTTCTGAGGGCTGGGAAAAGGGTCATTCTCTTCTTTTTCCAGAGGCGGCTCCGTGGTGATTGTGGCCTCCCTAGCAGCCTACACCCCATTTCCTGTAAGAATCCCTTTCTCTGCTATTTCTATCCCCTCCATCCTGCACCTTTCCACCCTCCAGTCACCCTAAGAAGTCTGTGTCCCCTTTGGAATCACACCACCAAGTCCCTTTCCATAAAATAGATGCATTGCCTCCACGAACCCCAACCTAGGGGAGGTTTAGCCACAAGACAGTTTTCTAACTGGGACCCCCCCCCTCCCCATTACAGGAGATGTCCTATTATCTACTATCCTTTTTGTCTTCCAATAAGAACCAAGAATAAACCAGAAACAAAGAGACTAACCCATCTTCTCCTTTCCCCAGGCCCTGGGCCCTTACAATGTTAGTAAAACAGCCTTGCTGGGTCTCACCAAGAACCTGGCCATAGAGTTGGCCCAAAAGAACATTAATGTGAACTGCCTGGCACCCGGAATCATCAAGACTAAGTTCAGCCATGTGGTGAGGAGGGGAAGTCCTGCATCCTGCTGGGGAAGCCTAGTGCCTGGGTCCTGAGCTCCCAATCACTTCTGCCCCCCTCCCCAGGCTTTTCTATAGCACCCTCCATGCCAGCCACCTGTGCCGACCAAACCCGCTCCTTTCTTGAGGTGTGCGGTAGAAACTGACATATTCAGACTCTACTCACGCTGTTTCATGTCTCCCTAAGTGGGTGGGAACTGGGGAGACCCAGCGGAGTGACTCACTCGAATCTGAAAAGAATGAAACAGAAGAGGGCAGTGGGGAGAGACGGGGGACTAGGAAAGACTAGAAAGGAAAAAGAGGGCTTCTCTCTACCCTTCCTCTCAAGTGATATCAGGGTGGGCAGTCTCTCCCCTCTCTGTCCCTCCCTCTCTTCTTCTTTCACATAAAGAGATTCCCTTTTTCCTACAGTTGTGGATGGATGAGGCAAGAGAGGAGAGCATAAAAGAAGCCCTACGGATAAGAAGGTAAGGCTGTCCCAGAGGGAGTTAGGAATAAAGACAGAAAGGGCTGGTCCCTCACACAGCCCACATCTCGTGTCTCTTGGTCCCACAGACAACCGGGAAATGCTCTCCTCTTTCTCAAACACACACACTTCACAAGTTCGTGAACCCTGCATCACTACAGTGGGGTGTGTGCAAGGAGTCTGCTTCCATTGCAAAAACCAACACAGAGATGCCCAGGTTTCAGCAGAGAAGAGCTCTGGGAGAGGCCTTGACTCCTCTCTCCAGCTGGCTGTTTGCCTCCATCTCTAAGCATCCCTAGCTACCAGGGACCAAAATCAAAACATGCTTTTTTGGTTCTCTTTGATTAAAAAACATGTTTCCAGCCCTGGCCGGTTTGGCTCAGTGGTTAGAGCGTCGGCCTGCGGTCCGGAGAGACCCGGGTTTGGTTCCCGCTAAGGGCATGTACCTTGGTTGCAGTTTGTCCCCGGCCCTGGTTGGGTCGTGTGGGTGGCAGCCACTCGATGTGTCCCTTTCACGTCGATGTTTCTCTCTCTCTCTCTCCCTCTCACTCTATCTGAACAAAATACAGTGATACCTCGGTTCTCGAACGCCTCGGATTTCGACCAAATCGGTATTCGACCAGGAGATTCGAGAAACTTTTGTCTTGGAATCCGAACAAATATTTGGAACTCAAACTTCCGAGATGAGCCGAGTTGAGCCGAATGGCGTTCATTCGGCCCAGCGCGCCTTGCTTGCGTCCTCAGTGTGAGTGCAGAGAGAGAGTCACGCTTTGTGGAGAGAGTCACGCTTTGTGGAGAGTCACGCTTTACACTGAATTTAACCCTTAGACATACTGTACACTTTTATTTCTTGTTGAGACTTATGTTTTTCTACATATTATATACAAATTAGGCCAGTAAATAGGCATTTTCTGGGGCTTGGAACGAATTAATCCAGTTTCCATTATTTCCTATTGGTTTCATTGCTTCGGTTCTCGAACAATTTGGTTCTCGACCGTCCTCCTGGAACGAATTATGTTCGAGAACCGAGGTATCACTGTATCGAAAAATGTCCTCGGGTGAGGATAAAAAAAAAAAACCATGTTTCCAAAGCTCAGGCTGATGATTCTACAACCCAAATAAAAGGACTGAAGAGCTTAGACTGAGTCCCAAAACTCCCCTTGCCTAAGAAAATTAGCCTCTTCCCCACGGGGCTAGGCAAACTGTCCCGGCACATTCATCTGGTTCCCTTTCCTCTAATTTCCCTGCCTCTCTCCAACTTCTGGCTTCTGGGAACTCTCTTGTCTTTAGCTTCTCCACCTCATCCCTCAAGGACTACTGTGCAAACAAGGGCTACTTAAGGAAAGAGACCCGCCTACAGTGCTCCCAAAGCCATTCTGATGTCAGGCATAAGCTGTAGGCCTACTTCACAACTCACTGTCAGGGTACTGTCATCCTAGAGCCCCTGTCATTGACTAGCCTCATGCTTCTCAATCTTGGGTGCCTATTAGAATCAGCTGGGGAGCTTATTAAACTACAGATGCTCAGGCCCCACTCCCAGAGATTCTTTTTCAATTGGTCCAAGGTAGGACCTGGGCATCTTTTGGGAGGTGGGGTGTTAAGCCTTCCTGATGATTGCAATGTGTAGTTAGGATGAAGAACCACTAATCCAAGCCTTGTAGGTTTGAGATACCCACTCTGCCCCACCTCTGGAGTATCCTATGGCAGTTATGTTAAAGTGTTCCCAACTATCCAATCACTGATACACTGAGAATGAGCCCATTCTCACAATGAACCTCACTCTAAGGGACAAAAATAGGTTCCTGAAAAAGTTGTCTGTGGATTGAAGCTGTGCAAAAGGAGTCATTAAAAAAAAAAAAAAAAAAAAAAAAAGCATTTACTGTCTTCCAGACTCTCAGACATTTGACGAGTATGCACACATGTGAAACAAATTCTTTGAAGTATGAAATAGCTGCTCACCAATTTATCTATATAACTTTGGATTTTGGTGTCCTGAGAACAAAGTATCTCTACATTATTTATAATTTATAGTGGCTTTTGCAGAGTACAGTATTTATGCTTACACTAAACTATTACAAGTTATCATCAATGATAACCCTATTTGGTGGACTTGTACACTGGTCCTGAAAAATCGTCGTATACTTATTAAGTTAATTTCATTCTCTGTGGGCCAGGTCAGGGACCTGGTCTGTTTGAGTTTTATTTCCTTCCTTGTTTTCCTTTTACCCCAGGATAGGCAAGCCAGAGGAATGTGCAGGCATCGTGTCTTTCCTGTGCTCTGAAGATGCCAGCTACATCACTGGGGAAACAGTGGCAGTGAGCGGAGGGGCCCCATCCCGCCTCTGAGTACCTGGAGAGAGCCCACCAGGGCAGAGATTGGGCTCCAACTCCTGGTCTGGTTCCAGCACTCATCAACTAGCCTTTCCCACCTCTGCCTATCATACACGCCCCCAAAATCAGTTCTGCCCTATGGCAAGATCCAGCCTTCCTGGCCATCAAAGTTTGGTCTTATGAGGATTCCAGCTGTTGCTGTAGCCTTGGATAAAGGCTTCCCCTGAGGACACAGGGCAGGCCTGCTGAGAAGGCTGCGTCTACCTCAGCAAAGATTTTATATATATATATATATATATATATATATATATATATATATATATATATATATATTTTCTAGGCATCTGGGAAGTTTGAGGGAGATGGGAGAGAAGGAACCTGGAGTTGAAGGAGGGGGTGGGAAGGAAGGTTGGAAATTAATTTACAAATGGTGTGCAAATAAAATGCAGATGATTGTGTTGCTTTGACTCAATGTGTTCCTTTTTATAGTGTGGGGTGCAGAGGTGTGGTAGCTGAGCAGAGAGCGTGTCTGAGTGGACTGACTCTCTGGATCCCCCAAACCCTCCTCCCTGTCTCAGGACCTGAGCGTGATACTCAGGGGTGGAGGTGTCTGCAGAACTGTCAGCTGGGAGGATGTGGCACGGGGACTCCCAGGTGCTACATCCGCAGGGATGGTGCCAAGGGCGCCACGGGAATCCCCAAGTCTGGGCTAGCAGGAAAGGGAGGACAAACTCCCCCAGATCTGGCCAAGTCCTCTCCTGGCATCACCTTGGTCCCCGAGTTCCCTCGCAGGTCAGAGAGGACAAGCTGGACCGGCCTGAACAAATGGAGAAACGGGAGGGGCTTTGCAAAGGTGACCCGTGGTACTCAGGCCCACACAAAAGAAATGAGCTTTGCTTACAGTGCCCGAGGAGTGTGTGGCACGCAATGCAGGGACGCTGCTGTCCCCCGCCGGGGAGATGGCCAGGGCACCAGGCAACACGCACAGGGTGTCGCACGCGGGAGCCGGCAGGCGGGGTGGCCGCGAGCGCGCGCGGGGTCTCACGCGGCCAGCAGGCGCGGCGCGCATGCTCAGTCCGGCTTTTCCCCCGGCGGGGCGGGGGACCCGGCGCTCGGAGGCGGGGGCAGGAGCGCTCGCGCAGCCGCCCCTGACTGGAGCGGGCTCGGCGGCTGCTGCATCGCTCAGCGCGGGGGTCCTGCCGGAGCCGGGTCTAGCATGTGCCGCGGCTCCCTGGCGGTGGCGGCGGCTCTTCTGCAGCAGCGGCAGCAACAGCGGCCGCCATGGCCAAGTCCAGCGCGGAGCTCACCCGCGAGCTGCAAGGTACGAGGCTGCGGTGGTCTCTGGGACGCCAGGTCTGGGAGCATCCCAGACCCAGTGCGTTCCTCCCCGCGGCACACCCCAGCCCAGGTCCCTCCCGCCCCCGCCCCCATGCATCCCGGTTGCAAGGCAACCCCCTCCCCTACCGCTGCATCCCAGCTCCCGCATCTGTTCCCGGAGCATCCTCCGCTGCCCCCTCGCCTCACCCTGTCAGGACCTTCCGGTCGCGGAGCCACTCGTGCCGATCTTCGGTGACAGGTGCAGTCAGTCCCCTTGCGCTCCCTAAGGCTGACTCTCAGCGATCCTGGCCCACCCCTTAGCAAGGCGTCTAGTCTTCCCTCCGGAGAGTCCCCGTTTCCCCGCCGGGCGGAGCCAGGCCCGCCCCGCCGCACGATGGGAGCTGCCCCTGGTCCTGACCGCCTCTTGGCTCCACACCCTCCCTCTCCCGGCCCCGCCCCGGAACTGGCCCGGGAGAGCCCCCCTAGCAGCCTGGCAGCGCCCCGACCTGTGAGGCAAAGACGGGAATCAGGGAAGAAGGCCTGGACTGCAGCTAAAAGCAAGAGCAGGGTCTCTGCTGCTCACCTCCCACAGCTCCCGTCCCACCCTGCCCCCTTCTCACTCCCCTTTACCCACATCGCAAGGCCTCTCCTGTTTGCATGGTCCTCAGACTCGGTCCAAACCAAGGCCCGACCCCCCAGCACTGCCACAACCCTGACCCCCAGAGGCAGGAGCACAGGCTAGTCCACGCAGAGACCAGGACGCTCAAGGATACTAAGAGGTGTGCTGCACCTTGGCAATTTCCTTCACCTGCACACACACACACACACAAGCACACGCGCGCGCACACACACACGCGCGCGCACACACACACACATAAGCACAATCCTAAGATGTGTGTACACACATTTTTATAGCATTGGCACCCCCACCTTTCTCTCCCCCCCCCATACCTGGATGATTCTGCCAGCAGATGGGTACGGTCTCATTTAACACTAACTCCTTCACACCCCCCACACCCCCACACACCGGAACCTTCTGGCTCTGTGCCCTTTTCACAACTGCAAGCACAGCATACTCATTTACACTTACCCATCCCCACCAATACCACACACGGGCTCCCTGGCGTCTTCAAAAGGCATGCGCACACGCATAGTAAAAGGCAGACACACACCCAGACCACCTAGAATACAGTCAAAGGAACACCCCCACACCCCTACACAGTGACTCACTGTGTATGGGTTGACAACTGCTGGAGTGAACAGGTTGGAAAAATCCTTCACACCCTCAGAAGTGTAAGACACACCCTCCCACAGACAGTGTCACTCAGCCACTGTCCCTTGCTCAGGAACATCAGGAACCAGAGTTTTCTCCACATTCCCTCCCTCTCTAATAGAAAGAGAAAAGTCACCCAAGAAGGAAAGATCTGTGTCCCTGTCCTTTGTCTCTTTTTCTCTCATTCTATATGCTCCTGACCCTGGAAAGCCCTGGGGAGGTGGGGTGGCCAGGGGAAGGGGAGCTCTGAGCAGGCCCCTGTCCACCTGCAGACAGCATCCGGAGATGCCTGAGCCAAGGAGCGGTGCTCCAGCAACATCGCGTGAAGCTGGAGACGAAGCCCAAGAAGTTTGAGGACCGAGTGCTGGTGAGGGCACTGGGCTTGGGCGCAAAGGGAGGTATCAAGGGCAGCTGAAGGCAGAGAGCCTGGGAAGCAGGAGAAACAGAGGTGGGGAAGAGCTGAGGAGACATAGTCTGGGAGAGGGGTTAGGCTGGACTGGGTCAATGTCCAGGAGATTAGGATGGGACATGAGAGAGGGGGAGGACCCCCAGAGCAGAGGGCTGCTGCTGGCAAGGGTTGTACCCAGGCTGAGAGGGCTAAAAGAGGGCAGGAGCTAATGGCCCAGAAAACTGCCATTTGCTGCTGACTTTCTTTTCCTTCCTCTGAAGGCCCTGACCTCCTGGCGCCTCCACCTCTTTCCCCTTAAAGTCCCAGCCAAGGTGAGTTGGGCTGAGGAGCAGGAGAACACCTGGCGTGCTCCCTTCTGAGCCTGGCAGCCAGACCACAAGCTGAGCATCTCCATATCCCCAGGTGGAGAGCTCCTTCAATGTCCTGGAGATCCGGGCCTTCAACACGCTCAGTCAGAACCAGGTGAGCACCAGGGCCTGGGGCCCCACTCCTGGGCCAGCAGGAGGAAGGAGTCAGTATGCGAGGTCCTGCTGCTCCCTCTCCCCCAGATCCTAGTGGAGACAGAACGTGGCATGGTGAGCATGCGGCTGCCATCAGCTGAGAGTGTGGACCAGGTGACACGACATGTGAGCTCTGCCCTCTCCAAGGTCTGCCCTGGCCCTGGGTGAGTGGCAAAAGAGGAATCTCTCAAGGGGTTGGACAACAAGGAAACTTCTCCCTCCTTCCCTCCTTCCCCTGGACTTGAGCTCCTAGGACACCAAAGAGAAGAGCAAACATGTTCCTGCTCCTGTTTTTTTCCTGGGGATCCAGAAGCCATAATGGGAAGAATTGAGAGCCTCTTTTCACCTCTCTCTGGGATGGATTTGTTCATCTTCCAGGTGTCTAATCCGGCGTGGAAATGCAGACACTCCAGAAGGGCCCCGAGACACATCCCCCAACTCTGAGACTTCCACATCTACCACTCACAGTGTGTGTGGTGAGCAGGGCAGACTTGACAAAGTGGGCCCGAAACCCTGCCCCTTGTCCAGATTCCTTTATATAGAGAGTTTCACAGCTCCCAGACCTCAAAGGTTCATGGTGTAGCAGGAACCCAGGACACTAGCACATAAAATGACCTTGACCTTTCCTTGACCCCAAACCTGTCCCTCACCCCCTTGCCCCTCGTGGAGCCAGCTCATCTACTGCCCTACAGGTGGCTTCTCTGAGACCTACGCTGCCCTGTGTGACTACAATGGGCTGCACTGCCGTGAGGAAGTGCAATGGGTGCGTTGGGCAGGGACCCGCTATTTGGCAGGTGGGACCTGGAGGGAGGGGACAGAGGAGGAGGAGGGGAGCAGGTGTGAGCCAGTTCTACCTCTCCAAGGATGTGGACACCATCTATCATGCCGAGGATAACCGGGAGTTCAATCTTTTGGATTTCAGCCACTTGGAAAGCCGGTAAGCTCATAGATAGAGATTCCCCACCACCACCCCACATGCCCTTCTGACCCCACCCACAGTCCCAGCTCTCTCTCCCCAGCCCACCCCCCACAGTCTTCCGCACATCCAGGCTTTCCCCAGCCCAACTACTCCATCCCTAGCCTCTTCTTTCCTGCCCAGCCACCTGCTCACCACTTTTCTACCCACTTCAACCTCCCCACAGAGACTTGGCTCTAATGGTGGCAGCCCTGGCCTACAACCAGTGGTTCACCAAACTCTACTGCAAGGACCTGCGGCTGGTAGGGACCAGGGGGCATGGGGGAAATGGGAGAGAGTAGGTCATCTCTGGTTCCTGACCGCAGCACCCGCTCTGTCCTCAGGGCTCTGAAGTGCTCGAACAGGTGCTACATACACTGAGCAAGTCGGGGAGCCTTGAAGAGCTGGTGCTGGACAACGCTGGGCTTAAGACGTGAGGCCAGCCTCCTCCTTGGGCAGTGGTGCCCCCTTGCTGTAGTCTTAGGGCTCCAGAACCTTAGGACCTCAGAGGGGCCTCTGAGCTCTCTCCTCCTGCTCCTCACTTCGCAGAAGAGGAGAGTGAGGCCCAAAGAGGGCAGAAAACAAGTCAATGGTCAAGCGAGGACTCAGATCTAAGCCTCCTGACCCCCAGCTCCATGGCCTTCCCCAGCATGTTCCATCAACTGCCAAGCAGGGTGGGCTTCTCTAATCTTGAGGACCTGAAACTGGGCGTTGTCTCAGCGCTTCTCATGTATTCCAGAGTGGTGACAAGTCCTGTGCAGACCCCAAGCTGCTCCCCACCTGTGGGGGCCTCTGGCCTTTGCAGTCCCAGCCAGACAGGC